TGGCCCGGGAGGCCCCGTCCCTGGGAGCAGGGTTCCCTCGCGGCCCCGGCCCCTTCCTTTTGCAGCCCCCGGGCAGCCCCCTCTCCTGGATAGTCCCCTCCTCCTGGGGGCTCCCTTCACCAGGCGGCTAGGCTCCTGGGGAGTGGGGTTCCTTCGCTGGCCCCTCTGGCTCCCTCTGCGCGCCCCAATCCCCACTAAGCGGGGGCGGGGGCACAGCCCGCCGGCCTCCTGATTTTCTCTGCCTGCGTGTTCCATTTTGCTTTTCCAAGTAGCAGGAGAACAAACCTAACAGCCAGGGCTCAACAGAGCATTTAAAAAAATATGTTTTTATTGATTTCAGAGAGGAAGAGAGAGAGAGAGAGAGAGAGAGAGAGAGAAACAGAAACATCAGTGATGAGAGAGAATCACGGATCGGCTGCCTCCTGCACTCCCCTTGCTGGGCATGGAGCCCCCAACCCAGGCATGTGCCCTTGACTGGAATCGAACCTGGACCCTTTCGTCCGCAGGCCGACAACGCTCTATCCACTGAGCCAAACCGGCTAGGGCTCAACAGAGCACTTTAGGTGCAACTTGCAAGGTGTTGTGTCAGGACATATTCGCATGTTTTCCAGTACAGCGTGCATTAAAAAAAAAAAAGTGTTGATTGATTTGAGAGAGAGAGGAAGGAAGAGAGAGACCGAGGGAGAAACATGATTTGTTGTTCCCCTTATTCTAACCATTCACTGTTTGCTTCTTGCATGTGCCCTGACCTGCGACTCTGCGGGCCACCTTGGTGCATCAGGAGGATGCTGTAGCAACCTGAGCTGCCAGCGTGCATTTTCAGTGGTTCGGACTCCTGGCTCATAATAAGTGCTCCGATTCCCAGCTCTACTCTGCAGTTCATGACCACCGGTTTTCAGCTTTCCTCTGTCTTTGGAACAGGAACGCTGCCCACGACTCGGGAGGATGAAGGTCATCACTTGCGAGATCGCCTGGCACAACAAGGAGCCGGTGTACAGCCTGGACTTCCAGCACGGCGCGGCCGGGAGGGTCCACAGGCTGGCGTCCGCGGGCGTGGACACCGCCGTGAGGGTAAGTCGGGCGGGAGTAGCAAGCACAGGGACCCCCGCTGAGGCAGCGTTCTCCAGGCTTACATTGAAAGCTGATGCCAGCCAACTCCAGCTACTTCCTCATCTAGTCCAGAGGGATGCACTCAGGGCCCGGAGGGAACAATGAAACCGAAAGAAGCCTCTTTCTCCTTGGGTCAGATTAAGGGGACTTGATCCCTGTGCTTTTAGAACCCGAGCCAGGTCCCCATCGGGGAACAGTCTGGACTAGAACGAGGCCGGAGGGAGGACAGTCAGCAATGGGACTGTGGGTTTATGGCTCAGACACAAGTTCCTTCCTTTTATGTTTCAAAAGAAAAGCTACATCGTCTTCCTGAACATAAGCAGAGTGTTATTTTAGTGCGTGGAGCAGGGCAGGTGCTCACTCTGTGTTGTTCTGGATGCGTGTTTTGGTGTCCACAGGTCTGGAAGGTGGAAAAAGGACCGGATGGAAAGGCCATTGTTGAATTTTTGTCCAATCTGGCCCGCCACACCAAAGCCGTCAATGTCGTGCGCTTCTCTCCCAATGGGGAGATTTTAGCATCCGGAGGAGACGGTGAGTGTAGTACTTCAAGGTTCTTCAGAGGCCACGTATCCGTGTGTCTCATGGTAAACCCTGAGGCGTGAGCCAAGTAAGGCTTGTTTATGGTAGAGGTCGCTGGACCCACCCATCTTTCGTTTATGTTCTGGGGAGCACGAGCAGATGGGGGGCAGCAAACGGAAACTGAGAAGACCTATTGGAAATGCCTCCTTGCCCACGTGCTCCCTCTGGGCTGGCGTGGAGACAGTAGGAGGTGTTTCCCGTTCTGACGGGGTCTCCCGGCCCTGTGCTGGCCTGGCTTAACTGTTAGTGTAGAATGTGTAAGTGATCACAGTCTGTCCCATGTTTCTGTATAATTAGTTAATTAATTGGCTTAGGGCAGCGGTTCTCAACCTGTGGGTCGCGACCCCTTTGGGGGTCGAACGACCCTTTCACAGGGGTCGCCTAAGACCATCGGAAAACACGTATATAATTACATATTGTTTTTGTGATTCATCACTATGCTTTAATTATGTTCAATTTGTAACAATGAAATTGGGGGTCACCAAACATGAGGAACTGTATTAAAGGGTCGCGGCATTGGGAAGGTTGAGAACCACTGGCTTAGGGGGTATCGTTCACATGGCCCTTTAATGTATGTTTGTTTCGTGGAAGTAGGTTGATTTACATTTTCTGCTTGTGCTTCTTGGCATAAAACTTGTCCCACGACCTGAAGAAGAGTCTGGAGGCTTTGGCTAGTAAAAAAGGAGAGAGACTTATTCGAGGGTCTTACAGTTTACCCCCTGGGAACACAGGCAAAAACCCAGAAGTGCTTCATAAAGGAAAGAAAAGTTGAACTTTTCTTATGGTCAAAAGTACATTCTTGAGAATTGTCGGTCCTGCATTCGTAGCCCTGGGATTCATCCAGGACGGTCATCAGTCAGGTGTCGGGGAGGATGATGGATGCCAGGTGGGCTCGAGGGTGGGCACCAGGGGTTTGACCCCGTCTGGTGGTCTGGGTAATGGGTGTCAGGTGCTGGGTACGGAGTCCTTCGGAGGGCAGTCAGGGTTATCTGGAGGCCTGGTGTCTGTCCAGGGGCATATCTGGGCACTGGATCTGGACTGGAAAGTTCAGAAAGTTTAAGTTCCCAGGCCAGTTAGAACAAGAATGGAATCTTTCCTCCGGCCTCAACCTTCATAATGGGAATGATTTTAGCAGTTTGGTTAAAATGACTCCATCCTATATAATAAAAGCCTGGGCAGAACAACCGGTTGACCAGTCGCTATGACACACAATGACCACCAGGGGGCAGACACTCAATGCGGGAGCTGCCCCCTGGTGGTCAGTGCGCTACCACAGTGGGAGTGCCACTCAGCTGACCAGGATGAGCTGCTGTGCTGTGAACCCCAGGCCGACAGGCAGGAACCTGGGCTGCGATCGTAGCCTCCTCACCCCAGGCTCCTCCTCCTCGCTCCCTGCCGCCTCCTCTGGACACCCACAGGCCACACGGTGCTGCCATTGGGCTTGCAGAGCTGACCCTGGAGGCTGGGAGGCGGGTTCGTGGCCGCTGCGGGACTGAGGCTTACTCTGCCACCTCTCAGTGCTGTTGTCCCTGGGCCCAGCCCGATCGGGTTCCCTGGAGAGGCGAGTGCTCCGGCTCCATGGAAGATGCCAGACCAGGGAGCAGCCGCTCAGAGGGAGGGTCCACAGCCGCTTGGCTGACCGGGATGAGTGCTCCCACAGCGTGCTGATCCTCGCAGGCCAGGCCCCCCCCCCCCCCACATCAGTGCACGAATCCCGTGCACCGGGCCTCTATATATTCCCTATCTCTACTCAAACTATACAAAAAAAGTAAATTTTTTTACCATGCTTTAACACTAGAACAGTCTAGAAGCCAGTGCAAAATAAAACAGAAGTCTCAGAGTTTGTTTGCAGGAGGAAAAGAGACCTGGTTGGTAAATTCAGTGCCCGTGTGTCCTAGTGTGGGCAGAGAGGGGAAGGGTGGTGAGTGGGAGCGCCCCCTGGCGGGACTGGCCAGCAGTCTGCTGTGAGGTTGCCCCGGGCACAAAGCCCTTTGGCCCTGGAGGCCCAGGAACCTGCTGTTGGCAAGTGGAGTGTGTCCTTATGTCGGGGCGCATCTCTGCTCAACCGAGCTCCCGGGATCCAGTCATAGGAGGGAACGCCCCCTTCCCTGGCCTCTGTGGGCCGTTCTCAGAGGGAAGCCGAGTCTGGGCGGGAGGTAATGTGGTGAGTGGGACTCAGAACGCGGGTGGTTAGGGAGCGGATGATTGCTGACATCAGGCTAATGTATGAGATGCGCACAGGATATGACTAGCTGACACAGGGGCTTACCCGGGCGGGCGTGGAGCTGTAAGCGCTTTATGCATGTTGACTCATTTAATCCTCCCAACAACCCCCTGTTGTTATCCCCATTTTATTTTATTTTTCTTTATTTTTATTTTTTAATCCTCACCTGAAGATATTTCCCCTTTGATTTTAGAGAGAGTGGAAGAGAGAGGGAAAGAGAGAGAAACACTGATGTGAGGGAACCACATCGATTGGTTGCCTCCTGCACGAGCCCCACCAGGGCCCGGACCCGGGCCAGAGAGGAGCCTGTAACCGAGGTGTGTGCCCTTGACCAGAATCGAACCCGTGATCCTTCGGTCCGCAGGCCGACCCTCTGTCCACTGAGCCACACCTGCTAGGGCTATTGCCCCAGTTTACAAGTGGGGAATTGAGGCCTCAGGGGACTTGCTGAAGGTTGCACAGCTAGGAAACATTTGCCATCCCTGGTGTTGGTGGCTCTTCGTTGCTGGTTGTTGTTTTTTTTTCCTTTTAATTTACTTAAAATTTTTATTTATTGACTTGATAGAGAGAGACATTTGTTGTTCCTCTTACTGATGGTTCATTGTTTGGTGCATACCTGACTGGGGATGGAGCCTGCAACCTTGGCATATGGGGAGGACGCCGTAACCAACGGAGCTATCCCGCCAGCGCCGGTTTCTTTTTACTCCGTTGTTTCTCGGCTCTGCCTTTTGGTTTGTTGGTCGCTCTGCAGTGGTGATTGGCCCGCCAGGGGACCCTTCTGTTGAAGGTGACTTGTCTAGCTCTGATCTGGTATGAGTTTGATCTTGGGGTTTTAGCTCAGAAGGCAAACCTGTTTTCTCCTCAGCATTCTTAGAAGTAAATGCTCGTGGCCGTAGCTGAACAAGGTACCTGTTATTTAATAGCCTAAAACCCGGGAGCGAAGGGCGAGCGGTAAAGCAGGCTTGTCCCCGTTAATCCCGCCAGATGCGGTCATTCTGCTGTGGAAGGTGAACGACAGCAAGGAGCCTGAGCAGGTGGCCTTTCAGGACGAGGACGAGGCGGAGCTGAACAAGGAGAACTGGACGGTGGTGAAGACGCTGAGGTGACGGGGGCGGGGCTCGTCCTCCCCTGAGGGCTGCATTCAGCTGACAACGCACTCTGACTTTTGTATCTCCCTTGAAACTTTTCCGTATGCAAGACAGAAATAAGAGAATGGTTTTAAAAGAGAAAAGCATGATTAAAATGGATTTCCTGAGTTTCTGCTAACAAGTAAAATCGAATCAGTTTTAAAGACAGATATCCTTGGATGTGGTCGGTCGTGGCTGTAGCTCAGATAGTCCCAGCGGCAGTTTCTAACATCCCATTCTAACGTGTGGTGCCTGGGTCTGCCTTTAAACTTCTTGTCCTCTTTCTCTCCTTTCCCCCGTCCCCCTCTGGATTCCAGGGGCCACCTAGAAGATGTGTACGATATCTGCTGGGCCACCGATGGCAATTTGATGGCTTCTGCCTCTGTGGACAACACGGCCATCATCTGGGACGTCAGTAAAGGTAGCTGATACGCTTTTGTTATCCGGGGAGGAACATCCTACGCGTCTACAAAGCCTAACCTGCTTTATCTTTAAAGGCATCAGAAGCGGTTGTTTCTTTAAGGAGCGAAAACGAGTTGGGTACAACAGGTTAGGGATTAGCCCAGGTGCCGTGTATCCAGCTCAGTTTGAGGGTCCCAGGCAGGAAGCCTGGGCTTAGGGTGGTGTCCTGAGTTCCTGGTGCCGAGCAAGGTGGGTGCCCCGTGCCCGGGAGGCAGCCGTGGAGGGACAGGCTGACCCCTGCCTTCGTGGCGCTTAGATCTGGGGAAGTCTCCATTCAGGGGCATTCCCTGCTCCGTGTTGGTAGGCAGGACCAAGGTTCCATTTCAGGAGGTGAAGGTACCTTGCCTTTTCTTAAAAAAAAAAGGTATTTTTATTGATTTCAGAGAGGAAGGGAGAGAGAGAAACATCAATGATGAGAGAGAATCACTGATCAGCTGCCTCCTGCACGCCCCACACTGGGGATCGAGCCTGCAACCCGGGCATGTGCCCTGACCGGGAATTGAACTTGGTGCAAGGGTTGATGCTCAACCACTGAGCCACGCCAGCCAGGCCCTCACTGCTTTGAAAGAACCTGTTCTCTAGTTGGGGATGCAGTAGACACGTGAGAAGTTATCTGCCGGGGTTCTTGTTCCTGCATCAAGAAGGGTTCAGGAATCTGGAGAAGGCTGTGTGTAGGTTAAATAGGAGTCCAGAGACGAAGTATAATTTTGAAAGGCATTTGGGGGTCAGAGGAGCCTAGTTTAAAGGAAACTAAGATCTAAGTTCTCCTCGTCTCAGGACCCCATGCTTTTTATTAACACAGTTTGTCCTGAGGCGAGGCAGAGATATACACTCAAAGGGTAGGGTTTTCGTATACAGGGGCATTGTCAGAATGGAAGAATTAGCCTATGGCTGTTCCGGTGTTTGGCCAGTAGGAGGCAATAACATGTAGATTAAGATGCCCTGAACTGTCTGGCAGCCAAGCAATCATCCCTTTTCAGGTTTGGGGAAATGCCTTCAGCCATTCCCAACAGGTGACAACATATGTGACTTACCCCTTGTTAAGTCCCCAAGTTCCATCATACTTTTGATGAAACTCTTGCAATTATGATATGCTAGAATTGGTTTCCTGCAGTTATTTATACTAATAAAAGGGTAATATGCTAATTAGGGAGGACGTCCTTCCAGACAAAGCCACAGCAGCTGCAAGGCCCGAGGGTGCTCAGATCGGGCCAAAGCTGCGCTGGCTGTGAGGGCCAAGGCCCGGTCCAGCGCCATGGTTCCTTTGGCAGAGGCCGTGGGAGCAGGCCTTGCTGTGGAAGAAGGCAGCATAGCGGGAGAAGGGAGAAGGTGGCAGTTAGGCAGTTAGGGGGATCAGGCAGGAGGGGAGAGCAGTTAGGCAGTTGGGGGGATCAGGCCAGAAGGGGAGAGCAGTTATGGGGATCAGGCAGGAGGGGAGAGCAGTTAGGCAGTTAAGGGGATCAGGCTGGCAGGGGAGAGCAGTTAGGCAGTTAGGGGGATCAGGCAGGAGGGGAGAGCAGTTAGGCAGTTGGGGGGATTAGGCCAAGAGGGGAGAGCAGTTAGGCTGTTAGGGGGATCAGGCCAGAAGGGGAGAGCAGTTAGGGGGATCAGGCAGGAGGGGAGAGCAGTTAGGCAGTTAAGGGGGTCAGGCTGGCAGGGGAGAGCAGTTAGGGGCACCAGACTGGCAGAAGCGGTTAGGGGGATCAGGCAGGCAGGCTGGTGAGTGGTTAGGAGCCAGTGGTTCCAGATTGTGAGAGGGATCCTGGATTGGAGAGGGTGCAGGCCAGGCTGAGGGACACTCCCCACCCCCGTATGCACGAATTTCATGCACCAGGTCTCTAGTAGGAATATAAAGAGCAATGAAACCCACAGCTCAGTAGCGGCTGATACCTAGCCCTGCAGTCCTTCACTCAGGCGTGATGTTTTCTCCCAGCCTCTTCCTCCCTTTCCCGTCGTGCAGGCTGGTGATTCTCCTGCAGCCCTGGTGCCTGGGGGTGGGGGTGGGTTCTGCCGCAGTCCCCTTCCATCCCCTCTGCACCAGCTGCTCTTTTATCTGGGTGCTGTCAGCTACCCCATCCTCTAGCTTGCCTCGCTCGATCATCCCCTGTCTCCGTCACGCTCTTTCTAATGGAGGATGAGTTTCACTTCTCATCCCCAAATCTGGCCCTTGTCCTGGACAGTCCTGCCAGTGCCCCGGTAATGACCTGGAACATGCCAGCACGCCGGGCACTGCCTCAAGGCTGGGAGAGTCATGAACAAGGTGGCAGCCTCCTACTGGGGTGTCAGGTAGTAGAGGTGTTGTAGGGTCGGGGAGTGTAGGTCATTCGGGAAGGCTCAGCATGTGGGGTTTGAACAGAGGCTTGAATGACTTTGGAGAGCAAGTGCTGTGCGTTATTTTGGGAAGAACATTCCAGCTGTGGGAACAGCAAGTGCAGAGGCCCTGTGTGTGGAGGAAATGGACTG